ATGGTCACGCCGCAATCCCTTCTCCTCCATTCTCCTCTCAGGATCTTGGGCATGCACGCACACGCACCCGGCGTGAGTTTAAGCCACCGGGCCTGGGACGTGAACTGCGGTCGACTACGTGGGAGTCCAGCGACATAGCCATTACGCTAACTGCTGGTTCCCTGACAATTTTTTTTAAAGGTAAGTCTACACCTTACATTTTAAAGTGTCTTTCTTTCTTTCTTGAGAGTGAAAGACAGAGAAAGACAAGTGGTCCCAACAGAGTCTCATACCACGACCCCACCACCCCCAGACCTCCCAGTTAGTCAGGATCATAGATGTCCACCCACCTGACCAGGGAATCGAACTTGAGGTTTTCCAAACACATCCAGAATCATTTGAACAGTGCTTTATCATTGTGCTACCAAACCAGCCAGAGGCCACATCTTCAAGTCACATCTTCTGCCTCCAGGTCCAGGCACAGGTGGGCAGGAGGTCACGCACAAATGCAGGCCTGCCATGCCAAGGGCACGCCCCCTTGTCGTGCACAATTGTGGAAATTCCTTAAGTTCTTGGGGCTGGCTCAGGTGTGGCCTGCTCAGGGACCCTCGGGGACTGTTCCTGACTCATGTTCTTCCTCTTCCTCCTCTCGCTACCCCTCCAACAACCAGAAGCCAGAGTCCCCTCCCTTCCTGAAAGCCTGCTCCCCTTGGCCGCGGGGCCATAGGGCTTCTTTCCACAAACAAGCTACTCCCATCCATCTCTGTCTCACAGCCTGCGGGGCCTTGGCAGGGAAACGCTGCCTTTGAGGAGGTTAAAGGTGCTGGTGCCCAGCCTTCATCTAACAAATGGGTTGCCAGGAGGGGGGAACTCTTGTTGTTTTTTCCTGGTCTCAGAAGAGGGCCCTGTCAGGAAGATGTAGGGGCCAGCAGGCCCCCAGCCGTGCCCTGCGGGGTGGCTGACAGACGCCAGCAGCTGCTTAGGCGCCAGGGTGCCAAGGCCTGGGCTCTCAGCACAGAGCACCCCACCACGCCCCCTCCCCATGGCCCTCCTGACCTCCCAGCAGCCCCACCATGACCCGGGCCCACTCCTTCCAGGGGCAAAGGGGCAAGCACTGGGCCTCCCTGGGATGGGGTCCCTGGGCCAGATGCGAGACCAGAGTAGGAATCCGATTACAGCTTGGAGGCTAGGCCCCTGGGAAGATTTTCCTAGGGCAACTGACAGGCCAGATCTGCCGCCAGCCTCCCGTGGATTCCTTCCAGAGCCCCCCAGCGCAGAGCCCTCAGCACGTCACAAGGCCATGCTTGCAGTTCTGGTTCTGCTTCCTCGGCGCTCCCCATCCGCATGGTCCCCCTTCCCAGTCATCTAGGTGGACAAGAACTAGAGGCACTAGGCAGGGTGCCGCATTTACCCTCCACTTACTCTGCGCTTCACAGACATGATTTCACTTCAAGTCGCAAATGTCTGTGGAGTGGGCATTCTGACATGGCTGGGCCAGGCTGCCTGAACTGAATTCTGGATCCTCCACTTCCCAGCTGTGTGACTTTGTGCAGGTTGCATAGCCCCTCTGTGCTTCAAAATCCTCTTCTAAAAAACACAGATCAAGAGAACAGCACTTGTCTCGGAGGGCTTTTGCGGGGGTCCTGGGAGATAACACATGTTTGGTGCTAGGATCAGTGGATGAACGTGACCTGTGACTATCAGCCCAGATGAGGAAATGGAAGTTTAGGGAGGGAGGTGACTCATGCCAGGGCACACAATCGGGAAGTGTTGGACGAAGAATTTGAACTCCGATCTGTCTAACCCCGAGCCCCGTGTTTCTTCCTCTGCATCTAGCCTGCTCCAGACTGGGACTGCAGGACACTTGAGAACAACACCCGGTCGTGCCCTCTCTCAGGTGTGTGAGTCTGAGCAGCCGGTCATCCGAGTTTCAGTTTCCTCACTTGCAAAAGGTAGGCATAATTCTTACTTTATCCGGAATAGCGGAGTCGAGAGGTTCAGAGGAGGATCAAGTGTGCCACAGCGAAGCCCTAGGCAAAGCAGAGAGGAGTCGGATTTGTGGCCATGGCCCCTCCTCTGGTCTACAACACGCTGGCCACTCATTCCGGAAGAGGGGATGTCTTTCCACGAAGAGCACGAGCTCGCGTGCACGGGCACGCACACACGTTTGCAGCTTTTCCTGCCCGTGGAATGCATGTCTGACCAGAGTTTCTAAAGGCAAGTCATTGCTTCTGCTTCCCGCTCCCAGTCCCCTCTGCTCTCTGCCATGTCTAAGGGGCACCCTCAGCAGCCTTCCCTCAGGGCTCTGCCTCCAGGCTGCAGTGCTCAGGCCACGGCTCTCCCAAGCCCTGGGTACCTTGGGAACCAGCCAGCAGAGACATTGCATGCCTGTGTATGCCCTGATCCTACAGTTCTGGGCCCTGGAAGCGCGTGGCCCCTGAACGTTTAGAAAGCCAACCTCCGAGAGGTTGCATTAGCCCTCCACAGAGCACTGCCAGGAAGACCCTCATGACTGTTGGTCACAGAAAACTCCTTGGGGAATGAGTCACCCCTGGTTCCTATTTCCATGCTTATATTCCATGAAGGCCTCAGCCTCCAGGGGTCAAGAATGGGAAACAGGTGGGTGGAGGTTCGGACGGGGGCAGGAGCAGGTGGGGGGAGGCCTGAAGAGACTTCAAGGACCTTATTTAGGAGGTTGGCCTTTGCTCTGAAGAAAAATGCCTTGAAAGCCCCCTAGAGAAGAGTGTGGCTAATTGGCATGTAAGTTGGAGGTTAAAGAGCGGAAGGAAGAATCTGATTGTTTTTATAAGTTACCGAGAAAGTGAGAATGTCACTTTGGGCAGAGAGAAATGATTTTTTTCTGCAGTGTGTCTTTCTTTGTACTGCAGACCATAGTGGGCCGCCGAGACTTGCAAAAAAAGATTTCTTGTAATCCACCTTCCTTTTTCACAGGCAGCAGTAGAAGGGCCTTTAAATCAAATGCAGTCACCAAGGTTGTCTCTTGCATTTACTCCCTACTTCGCTCCCTGGAATTTGGCAGTTGATGGATTCTGGATCTGACTTAAGGCTTTTTCCAAATCCAAGACTTGGGGAATTTTGTTAACAGTGCAATAAAAATAACTTCATAGTGTTACAGGAGGCACATTAAAGCCAGAGTGTGTGTGTGTGTGTGTGTGTGTGTGCGTGTGTTGGTGTGCAAGCTGTTCTCTCTTAAAAAAAATACAGACAATGTTTCTTTAAAAGCCTCCATCTGCAAATCCCATTAGATGTGCATATAAGGTTTCTGATGATTAATAGTTGCCTGCTCGGGTTCTGGTTGGAGGGGATCTTGAGTGTGCGGGTTAACCCCTCCCTCTCCTCTCTCACATTTCACTTCAGAAATCTGTCACTCTCTCCCCACCGCAGGATTTAAAAGTGTGTCTCAGCGGCCTTGGTCCAGCCCTCTGCAGGCACTTGCATCGGGCTCCCGAACCAGGTCCTTACCAGCTGGTGCGCCCGGGCTGGGACAGTGAAAACATTTAGCATCATTGGCGACAAATACATGTACAAGGGACCCCAATAGGCAGGCTGGTGTGTTCAGGAGGGCAGGACTCAAATTGTGAAGCCCGGCCCAGTAGCGCACATGCACGCGGGTGGCTGGCCACATGTGCGCGTACCTTAAGGAGAGACTTTAGTTTTGTTTTTTGTTTTGGTTCTGGGGTGGATTTTCTGGTGAATATTTTTCCCTCCTATTTAATTTTGGTTTTTGCATTTTTAAACAATTCGAATATAAAAAGTGTAACAAGTCAAAGCTTTGGAAGGACTGAGGCGTGCGGCGGACAGCAGATGGATCCTGGGGCCAGCAGCTGTATGAGGAACCCCCACCCCCCAGCCCCTGTCTGGGGCTGCCTCCGAAACCCCCACTCTGAAGGCAATGGGACCTCAGGGCTACCCCACTACCCGCCTACCCCATTCTCCTTCCACCAGAAACCAGACTTCCAGGCAACGGCGACAGCAGCGTACCCCGACTTCTCAGCCTCCTGCCTTGCAGCCACCCCACACAGCCTGCCCCGGGAGGAGCGCATCTTCACTGAGCAGCACCCCGCCTTCCCGCAGCCCCCTGATTGGCACCTTCCTGTCTCAGAAGCCCGGCGAAGGCTCAACACAGGCCCAGCTGGGAGCTCCAGGGAGATGGGGGCCCACAGCCCAGGCCTAGTGGATGCCATGGGAGGCCCAGGTGAGGACTATGGGGTCCTTGAGAGCACTGCAAGTGAGACGGAGAAGAAATCATCCAGACGGAAAAAGGAGAGTGCAGGTAGGTGGCTGAGGAGCAGCTGACTGTTCCTTTACTGTGTGACCTCCAAGAAGTTGCTTGCCCTCTCTGAACCTATGTGCCTGAATTTTTAACAATACTGACTAACCTACCCACATGCAGAAAACTAGACCAGTTATCTTTGGGGTTTCTTACATGCAGAGTGATAGGAGTCTCTGGTGATGGGGGCTGGGTCCATGTTCCCAGCACTCCTGGACCCCAGGAAGGATGTGCCAGCCAGAGAATGAACCAGGATCAGCAAAGACTTGGAGGACATGTGGGATGGAGCCTCTGGGTGCAGACCGACAGAGGCTGGACAGAGGCTCTCCTGAACCCAGGCTGCCTCTGGTCAACCTCTCTCTTCCCTGCTCCACTCAGCTCCAAATGGTCCCAGAGCCAGAGGCATACGCACCAGGGGAGTCCACGGAGACAGGCTTGGAGGGCTACGGCTGGCTAGGACCCTGGCTGGCCACACAGAGGCAGGACCCTATCTCAAGGAACCTAGAGGCAGAAGCAGGCCTAGGGCTGGGAGGAGAGAGGCACAGGAACCGGGTAAGTGGAGGGCGAGATTGGGGCACGCTGCCCATGAGGTCTGGCTGATGCCTGAGAAAGAAACCCTGCAAGGAGCAAGTTCTTCTTAGGGATTTCCAGCCCTGGGGAGCATTGGGGCAGCAAGGAGCCGAGGGCCGTACGGGGCCTCTGAACAGGGTCAAGTCCACACGGTTCTGGAGCCCCAGAGACTGGAGGCAGGGTTGGCCTGTTGGTGAAGAGCCCTGCTAAAGCCTTTCTCCTCCCTGTGCTGGGACCTGTTGTTCCCTCACCTCCCCATGCATGGGGGCCCTTCCTGACTTCTCTCACTGCCCATTTCCCTTTTGTGTGGGTCCCTGTCCCCACCTTGCCCAGAACAAGGCAGCCCCTGAGCCTCCTGTCCCCACTGCCCTCACTGTCTTCCCGAGAGCTACCCTGGAAGGATGACTGTCTGAACCTATAGAGGACCTTGTCATGGGATGACCAGAGAAGGCGGGTACCATCCAACAAATGGGACACCGTGTGCCTTGCTTTATAAAGTACTTTCAGCAAAGCACAGGCTCCCGGGTACCTGCTCTTTGGCAAGAGGCTGAAATGCATGAGGTGGTCTCAGCCCTGCAGAGCTTAAACCCCGGGGAATAGAGGCCCATCTTGGGAGTGAGATGTGCTCCCACGGTGTCCGGGTGCTGTGGGATGTACTGCTCGCTCTTGTTCGGGAGATGGGGCCAGCAGGCTTCCCTAAGGCCTCTGTTCCACTCCTCTGGGAAGGAGCAGCCTGCAAGTGTGAAGGAGGCACTGTGGGAATGAGGCCAGAACAGAGCCGACCAGCTCCTCTCAATTCGCCCAGGACTTTTCCAGTTTTAGCACTGAAAGTCCCCTGTCCTGGAAAACCCCTCATTCCTAGGAAACTAGAAAAGTAACCCTAGTCACGCTGTAAATGAATTGAGACCCTGGACTTCAGACTCCAGACCCCATACCCTTCAGTAGATTTCAAGCACAATCCACATTTTGAAATATTTGGTCTCTGCATGAAGAAGCAGCTCGACCTGCTGACAGTGGGTGAGAATACCCAGTGCGCCCTCCTGACTGCTACAAAGAGGGCCCTTTAAATCCTCCGCTGGCCAATCCCCATCCCGGGAATGAGCTATTCTGATCCCTGGTTGGAAATTTGCTTCTACTGTCCAAGGATCTCTCTGTGATGTGGCTCTGCACCTGACTGAGGAGCTTCCCCTCATGGCGCGTGTATCTCTGCCCACGTCTCTGTGGCCAGTCCAGCCACTCTTCAGGGAACTGAGAGCCAAGGGCATATACCAAGAGCCTGCTGGGCTCTGCCAAAACTGTCATCATTCTGAAGTTCAGCAAAACCTAAATGCAGCATCGTTCCTTTTGGCGAATGGCCGCGGCCCTGAGTTACACCGCAGGCTCACGGGCCAAGCAGCCGACCACCCTAGAGCACGTGGATTCCCACTGCTGAATGTCCCGCACTCCACAGGGTAGCCCTTGGCAACAGAGGGGCCCGGGCTCTCTCACGGGGTCCCCTCAGGAGCAGCAGTGGCAGGAGGCAGGGCACAGCAGGCTGGCTTTCATTCATTCCCACGTGGTTCTGGCCCCCTCTGGTCAGCAGGGAGATCTTTATTGTCTAGCATTAGAATTTAACTGACGGGGGAGAGAAAGGCAGGGAAGATCAGCTTCATAAGAGCCTAAAGAATGGGGAAAGTGATGAAAAAAGCTCATAACCAACTGCAGGAATCTGGAATTCAGCTCCCAGGAGACAAACCACAAAGGTCCTCCTCCCACCCAGCCCCACTCATCCTGCATCACTTTCGGATCCTCTCGTTATTTAAAGTGTTGATATTTTATTCATCATAAAGGGCTTTCTTGGCATTAATTTTGATTTTTAGAAACATTATATTAAGATATCACTTATTTTAGGGAACCAGCAGTTAGCGTAATGGCTATATCGCTGGCCTCCCACGTAGTCGACTACGGTTCACGTCCCGGACCCGGTGGCTTAAAACTCACGCTGGGCGCGTGTGTGTGCGTGCCCAAGATCCCGAGAGGAGAATGGAGGAGAAGGGATTGCAGCGTGACCATTCCCCCTGGGGGGTGATTTCTCGCTTTCTGTCTCTATGTCTCTGTCTGTCTGGCGAGCGTACACGCCCTATAGCGAAAATCTCTCCAAAAAAAAAAAAAAGATATCACTTATTTTTCTGATTCAGGGTTTTCTGTTATTGTTTGTTTGTCTTTCTTTCTTTCTTTCTTTCTTTCTTTTTTTTTTTAGAGTTTTTGCCATAGGGCATGTTTGCTCACCAGAGAGAAAGAGATAGAGACAGTGAGGGAAAGTGAGAAATCACCCCTTGGGGAGATGGTATGGCAGCAATCCTTTCTCCATTCTCCTCCTGGGCTCTTGGGTATGCACACCCATGTGCTCAGTGTGATTTTCAAGCCACCAAGTCCAGGACTCAAACTGTGGTCAGCCACGTGGGAGTCCGGCAATGTAACTACAACGCCGTCTGCTGGTCCCCCATGACTGAGGTTTTTGATGCCCCTTACATTTTGTGCTCAACCCAGATGCCTCACATGCCTCACCCTTGTCCCAGCTGAGCCGTCTCTGGAAGGTTAAGCAACATCGATCAGAGAGATGCTTGCTGCAGTTGGACAGATCGCAACGTGGGAACTGCGACTTTTGGCTGCATGACTTTGAGAAAGTTCTTAGCCTCTTGCAACCTAAGTTTCTCCAGCTGTCCAGTGGTGATATAACAATAGCCCCTCCCATACAGAGTCCCTGAGAAGGTCAATGCAGTGATCCATGAAACTAACACCGTGCCTGGCATATAGAGTTCAATACATGGCAGCTGCCAGTGGTTTCAGGTCCGTATTTCCTGAACCAGCTTCCAGAACATGGGGTCCGACAAATATTCATAGATGAGGGCGTCTTCAAAATGTTAGTGGAAAATACATATTATGAAAAAAACTGCAAAGATTTCCATATCTTTGCACCAAAATAAGCTCATACTTGAGTTCCATTCTGGACCTTGTGGAAGCATCTTTGTACGGTTTCTGGGGACAATAGGGTTGTATATTTCAAGTACCGCCTCAGAAATTCCTGAATCTGGGGTAAAAGACATGGGAACTTCTTGAAATTATTTTGGCCCTAAAATACCGTCAGAGAGAAGTGTGGAACTCAGAGATCTTCTGGAGAGGATGGGGTGGGTGGTGCCTGGCAAGTGAGTCCCCTGTAGGCTGGCCCAGGAGGCTCTAGGACCTGAAAGTTTGTTACAGGAGAAATGTTCTCTGTCCTCTGCTCTCAATCCTCGGCCATCCCCAACAGCTCCCGCTTCAATCCCACTGGAAGCCGGAGCTGAAGTGCTCAGTTAAATGATCAAGAAAGTGGGATGCCCTCCCCTGACATGTTCTGTTGGTTCATAAAACTGATCTGGGAGACCAGAGCTCTGTTATCTCGGCCGCACTACCGGCCCTGGGCCAGTAAGTGTGAAAGACCCCTGCTGGCAGGGACAGCTGCGAGGAGGCCATCCCTTGCTACTGCAGCTGTTTTTAATGTATGGGAATGAAGGATTTCTCGGTGATTTCCTGATAGGCTCAAGGGAAGGTTGTGTGAGAGGTGCCCGGCTACAGGTGAATTGGCTCACCGTCCTGGGACAGCGGCAGCGCCGGGACTCAGCACAACTCTCTGGCATTCTCATAACCGCACTCTGCTAAGACTCGTCTTTGATCAGACTCGATTTGTCCCATCTGCCTTCAGCTCTGTGTGCCCTTCCCCGGGGCTTGTTCTGCTCAGATTTCTTCCCAGCGAGATATGATCTCTGCCTGCCACACCCAACGGTGTCAACTCTCAAATTCACCTGTGGTTTAAACCTCTCCACAAAAGGCCCCGCCCTGGCCTCTTCCGCCCGGTTGCCCGCTACCTCTATGTGCCCTGTCCTCAAGCCACACCCGAGTACTGGCCTTGCAAACCCATGTCTTCTCTCACGTTTCCTTTTGTCTTGAACAGCCTTCTCCCTTCCCCACTCTCCTGTCTATTGAAATCCTACTTATTTTAACATCAGCTCTTCCTCCTCCAAGAATATTTTCTTCCTTCCTTTTCTTAAATTTATGCCTTCATTTGTAGATTGGATCTTATCAGCTAAAAGCTAGAACTTGGCTGAATTCAGTCATTAGCTCTAACAGGGGTGTCTGTGTGTGTGTGCATGTGTAATCTTCAGGGTTTTCTCCATACAAGATCATGTTATCTGTGAACACAGATAATTTCCCTTTTTCCTTTTGTATTTGGATGCCTTTATTTCTTTTTCTTGCCTGATTGCTCTGTCTCAGATTGTCAGTACTGTGTCAAATAGGTGGCATGAGTGGGCATCCTTGCGTCGCTCCCAATCTTAAAAGGCAAGTTTTCACCATTGAGGATGATGTGGGCTTCTCACAGAATGGCCTTTATTATGTTGAGGTAATTTCCTTCTGCT